ATATAATATATATATATACATATGTATTTGTACAGCATATGCACATATATATGCATGTATATATATACATACATGTATACGTATACCTGCATGCATGCATGCATGCAAACACATAAAGGAATATAAATACAAAGAAAAGGAAAAAGGATTTATATTAGTAAAAAATAAATAAAAAAAAGGAAAGGGTATTTATATTTATTTTTATTTATTTATTTATTTTTATTTATTTATTTATTTTTATTTATTTATTTATATTGTCTTACCTTAATACCCGCCTTCTCTACATATCCAGCCTGTAAAAAGGCAAAAAAAAAAAATAAATAAAAAAAATAAACAGCAGCAGCAGCAGCAGCAGCAGCAGCAAAAGCAGCAGCAACAGCAGCAGCAGCAGGAGGCTTACAGGTGCAGTAACAATAAATCTATGAGGAGGATTAAGTTTCTTTTTTTTTTCTCTTATTTTATATAACTCTAATGTTGTTGGTTCTTTATCTTCTTCGTATTCTCCTCCATAAGGAAGACTTTTTTCCTATAGACACACAAACCCTAAACCCTAAACCCTAAACCCTAAACCCTAAATAAACCCTAATATAAACCCTAAACCCTAAAAAACAGCATGAACACAACTTAAGGGTTTGGGATATAATAGACAAGTAGCTTGCTGCATATATATGTACCATCCTCTAGGGTTTAGGGTTTAGTGATTAGGGTTTAGGGTTTAGGGTTTATGCGCACAGTTATCCGCAGAACAATTCCTTTATCGTCACAGAAGATTGTATCCTGTACATACACCGCAAAAGAGAATAATAGACAGCGCATGCAGCAGCAGCAGCAACAGCAGCAGCAGCAGCAGCAGAAGCAGCAAGAGGAGCAGCAAAAAGATTGTGGCAGCATCTTATGGTATCCTTTCCTCTACAGTATTTCCTTTGAGGAAATTAGGGTTTAGGGTTTAGGGTTTAGGGTTTACACAGAAACATATTTCTTGTAAGATCTTGTAGATGATTATTTTATTTAGATTGTTTATTATATTGTTTATTAATATTAATTATATATCTAAATATCCTAAAATTAGGGTTTAGGGTTTAGGGTTTAGGGTTTTCGGGTGTATAGGGACCTACGCATATCCATTTTTCCGGTATATTATCTTGTGTTGTATTATTTTGTATATATTGTTGATTATATATATTTATTTGTTAAAATTAAAAATATATAATATTTAGGGTTTAGGGTTTAGGGTTTTGAGGGTTTAGGGTTTTGAGGGTTTAGGGTTTTGGGGTGTATATACAGCTACTTACGCAGGTCCAATTCTCTGGTACCATATCTTGTGGTCTATTATTATTAATACATTGCTGATTATATTGTTTACTAATATTAATTATTTCTTTAGGCCAAGAAAGTTTACCAAAATATAAATGTTTTTTATATAAGGGGGCCTCTTCTCCGTATATTTTCTTCTTTTTTTTATGTTTATCTCCTTTATTATATAATAAATCTACTGTTAATTTATCACCATCTAGTGTATTTATACCTCCCTCCTCTTCCTCCTCCTGCTGCTGTTGCTGTTGCTGCTGCTGCTGCTGCTGCTGCTGCTGCTGCTGCTGCTGCTCGTGCTGCTCCTGGTCCTCTGGGTATCTAAGTGTAGTTAGAGGGACCCCGTGCTGTTTAAGGGGCCCCCTTATATCTAGAGTTATAGGTTTAAGAGGGTACAGTCTTGGGGGCCCCCTGGGGCCCCCTATTAGACTTAAATCAGCAGAAGGGGAGACAGGAAGACGTACATGTTGGCCTACATACACCGCATTATATAAGGCAAGAGTTTTATTTATTAAGGAAAGAAGAGCAGCAGGAAAAGGAGAAGGAGAAGGTAAGACAGAAGGCCTCTTATTATCTATACGATTAGAACGAGCACCATATAATCTGCTGCTGCTCCTGCTGCTGCTCCTGCTGCTGCTGCTGCTGCTGCTGCTGTTAATGCTGCTGCTTCTCCTGCTGCTGCTGATAGTTATGGTGATTATGGGTTCTTGCTGTAAAGGAAGAAAAGCTAATCTTCTTGGAGCAAGAAGGATATTATTCTTATTATTATTATGGTGTCTATACACCGCAGAAAGGAACCTAGAGGGGCCCCTATATACAACAGCTGTTGTATAGTTTATCTGCTGCGGCTGCAGCAACAGCAGCAGGAGAAAACACGGAAAAATTAGGGTACAAATAGATATACGGCTTCTTTGTACTTGTAAGGGGCCCCCATAAGGGGCCCCTATGTAGGACCCCATGGGGCCCCTTCCCCTGGTATTACCATGCGGGGATTTGTGCATTTGTTGTTTTTAACTCCATTTATTGTTAATTAAATAAAAGATATAAAAAAGAATAAAAAAGAAGGAAGTCGAGAGGGGGGCCCCTTGGGGGCCCACATACACCGTGGAGTGTCTGTGCAGCTCTGTGCAGTTTAGGAGGGGAAAAAAGGGGAAAAAACGGCGTAAAAGCGGGAATAACAGTAAATAAATATAATAAAATAATAAATGAATAAAAAGAAAGATTTATTTCCTCCTTTCGTCAATAAATACACCTTAAGGGGGCCCCACGAGTTGTACAAACGGATCGTCTTGCATGCAAGTAACTCGGATGGTTATGCATGCATAAAAAAAGAAGAAAAAAGATGAATTATTGCTTTCTTTTTGAATATTTTAGGAAACTATCACTTAAATAATATATTTAATTGATTATAAAGTTACTTTTTCTTCTCTATCTCCATATAACGATAAATAAAGTCCATTAAATGTCTAGTTTTGCATAAGAATTCAATTTTTTCCTTCTTTTTTGTCTTTTTTGCAGAAAAAGTTCTTAATATCCTTTTGCAGGCAGCTCTTTTCTCTGCAAATATAAATAAATAAAGAGGAGAAAAGAAATAAAATATAAAAAAGGAGAAAAAATGCTTTCTTATGATGAATATATTATTATGAATAATTTTGTCTTTATGCTCTTTTTTTTTCCTTAAGTAATGTTTCTTCCTCAGTATATAATTGGGGTGTATAGGCACCTCTTGGTGTTTTTTTCTTCTTATTTATATGAATATTAATGTGAATTAATTAATTATTTCTTTTTATTTATTATAAAGATGAATAAATTTAATTATATTTCCCTTATAAGAAGAAAAAAAGGAATAAATTTTCTTCCTTTTATTGGTCGTTTTTTCTTCGCCTTTGGTACCCTGCATGTTATAGATAATTATGTTATATCTACTAAACAGGTAAATAAATAAATAAATAAATAAGTAAATTAATTCATTAATTAATTAATAATATATCTGTTACTAGTATTATTTTTATTTATTTATTTATTTATTTATTTATTTATTTATTTATTTATTTATTTATTTATTGGTTAATATGTTACTTGCATGCAGTAAAGAAACACAAAGAAACAAAGACACACATACACGCATGCTTACATGCATGCATACATATATAATAAATAAATAAATAAATAAATAAATAAATAAATTATATTTATTTATACATTTATGGTGTCTGTACACCTCAGGCTCGTGGTCTATCAATGAGTCCAACAATAAATGAGGAAGGAGATCTTCTTTTATATGAATCTTTATCTATAAATTTATTTAATTTATTTAATTCTTTTTCTTCTTTTTTTTCTTCTTCTTCTCCTTCTTCTCCTCCTCCTCCTCCTTCTTCTTCTTGTTCTTCTTCTTCTTCTCGTTCTTCTCCTTTTTTTTCTCTTTTTTCTTCCTTTTTTCCCTCTTTTCCTCCATTTTCTTTTTTTTCTTCTTTTTCTTCTTTTCTCCCTTCTTTTTCTTCTTTTCTTCCTTCTTTTTCTTCTTTTCTTCCTTCTTTCCCTATACGTCGTGGGGATATTGTATTATGTTATTCCCCTGAGGATGCATGCATAATATGCAAAAGGATAGTAGCAATAGAGGGAGATATTTTCTTTACTAAACCCCAAACCCTAAACCCTCAAACCCTAAACCCTCAAACCCTAAACCCTCAAACCCTAAACCCTCAAACCCTAAACCCTAATTCTCCTCCTTCTATTGTTGTATTACCTAAACACTCCGTATGGCTACAAGGAGATAATGCACGTAAGTCTATTACTCCTGCTGCTGTTCCTGCTGCTGCTGCTGCTGTTGCTGTTGCTGCATGCATGCATGCATGCATGCATGCATAATAAAATATTAAAATTGTTGTTGTTAATTCTTTTTTTTTTTCTTTATTTATTTTTTTTATTTATTTAATAATAATATAATAAATAAAATAAATAAAATAAATAAATAAATAAATAAATAAATAAATAAATATTTTTTTCTTCTTTTTTCCTATTTGCTGCAGCAATGTCTCATGATAGTCGTGATTATGGGTATATAAGTAAATCAATGATAAAAGGGAGAGTATTAATTAAATTATTTCCTCCTTCTTTCTTTCCTTTTTTTATTCCTTTTCTTCCTTCTTATATTATTAATCAATTTATTCTTCCTTCTCCTCAACAAGTTGCTGAGGAATTAGCAGGAAAAAAAAGTAAATATTCATCATCTGCTGCTGCTGCTGCAGCAACAACAGAACCACCAGCAGCAGCAGCAGCAACAGATGAATCCTCCTATACAGCTAGCTAGCTAGCTAGCTAGCTAGCTAGCTAACTAGCTAGCTGTGCAGTGCGCTGGCTAGGTAACCAAACAACGCAGCGTCTACGCTACATTAACAGCTAACTATCTAGCTGGATTACGCTAGGTGACAACTAGCTAGATGGCTAGCTAGCTAGCTGGCTAGCTAGCTAGCCATCTACAAGAGGCTCCGTTTTTTTTTTCCTTTTTTGTTTTCTTTGTATAGACAGAAAGAAAGTAAACCCTCTTTCTTCTTCTTACTAACCCCTAGGGTTTAGGGTTTAGGGTTTAGAGGGATACAGAAGCCTATAGCGGTCTTTCTGTTCTCTTCCTCTACAATAAAGGACTCAACTAGGGTTTAGGGTTTAGGGTTTAGACTCAACTAGGGTTTAGGGTTTAGGGTTTAGACTCAACTAGGGTTTAGGGTTTAGGGTTTAGGGTTTAAAACAAGGGTTTATAGTTGCGTGCCCATAGATAGGGGGGGAAGCGCTGCCTATAAGACAGCAAGAAAGGAGCTGCTGTCTTATTTATTTATTTATATTTATTTATTTATTATATTTATTTATTTTTTTTTTTATTTATTTTATTTATTTATTATAAAATAAAATAATAAATAAAAAGATAAAATAATATTCCCTTGCAATAATATATTCAATATATATATAATATATATATTAATATATAATATATATAATAATATATATATAAT